TGAAAAGCCTCCAAAAACTTGGAACCATCAAGCTCAAAAGCGAATTTTCGGATGCCAGAAAACTTATTCTGAGCCTCTAACTGTTTGGCCACAGGTCTCTGAATGTGCTGGATCACCCCAAGACAATCGAGACCGAGCCGAGTCGGGCGATCAGCGACCTGGCCACACAACGCAGCAGCAACATGCTCCGCAGCAGCTGGGCTCTGGGGGAGGGTGCCTGGAACAACGCCTCGTAGCACAGCCTCCATGTCTGTCGTATTCGGCGAGAGCAAAGCAATCGACCATGCCGCGCGCCGGAGCGGCCTAAGCATCTGCTTGGTGGCCGAGCCGTCGGCCGCGAGTTCAAGCGGCTGTCCTGGCGGAACGAGGGCAGCTAGTTCCTCGGGCTGACGGTCGAGCTCGTTACCCTGGCCATCGAAAATCTCACAGGCCGAGCTGAGGGAGGGAGGAACAAGCTGGGAGTCATCATAGACAAAGATGCCTCGAGTGCGCAGACAATCCTCGGTCTGAAGGGCAACCTGCAACGACTCATTGGGGATATCTTCGCATGCAATCTCACGGGCAGCCAGCACATCTGGTCTAGTGCATGTGTAGATGCGATGATGCGGGGTATCAACCTGCCCACACTCACAACGACCACAACTAAGATACCCCGCATCTTGGGCCCTCTTCTCGGTCCAATTGGCATCACACGCTGCACATTTTAACAAAAACTGCTGCTGTCGAGTGAAACTTCTCACGCGGGGAACCATCTTGTCCCTGACCAGGTCCAGAGTGGCCCGAAAACCAAGAGGGAAACCGAGTTTTTGGCCCAAGGCCAGCTCAGCCTGCCTCTGGAGGCCTGCTTCAAGCAACTCCTGCAGCATGCGAGGTGACACTAAACTGATATCGATGGGATTCTGATGGTGATCAATCCAAGCACACGCCTCGGGAGCCGACCAACCTGCCCTCTTGAGACACAAGACAACTCTACTGAGCGGGCCTCGACTATTCTTCCAGTCACCGACGCTGCTCGCATTAGCCTGTTGCCACAACGACACGAGGGCAGGGAAACTTAAAAGGGCTCTCTCGGGCGCTACTTTGGAGATCCAAACCATCCTACTCCATTGCAAGACGGGGCCCAAAGCAGCACGGACGTCCCATTCTCCAAAGAGGACCAATTTAGCACTCGCTGAAGTGCCACCGTGCATGGGCGCCTGCCGCCTCGCCTGGGCTCTGCGTATTGACGCCAATTCAGCATCCGAAAACCCCAAGACCTCAGAACCATACGACGACGCAGGAGCCAGGCCAGTACGCAGGACCCCCTGGAGGACTTGTCTTGGCTTGCGTTTAATAAACTTGCTAAACTTACTGATCTTTTTGGCACGCTTTTGCATAGCCTTCAACCTACCCCTAAGTTTGGGTCTCATGCCTTTAGCAGCACGTCGCAAACCAGCGGCCGAATCGACTCCGAGATAAGTGACTGCCTTTCTTGCAATTTTGCATTGCATCTGGAGACTTGCTGCTACATCTTTAGCCAAGTCCTCCGATGACGCAACTACAGCAATCTTATCATTCAGTGTTGCACCAATATTACGACTGGCAATCTGGAAATCTTTTCCCGCCGCCACCGCTAGATCCAGAGCTCGCTGCCTGTCTGCAGCAGAGATCTGAATGGCTGAGTCATCAATGTACGACATGAAACTTACGAGCGATGGCTGACGTGAAACAAACCAGTCGAATTCACGAACCGCGTGTATTTTTATGCACAAGTCATTGAAGCAATCACCTGCTGGAAGACCGAACTGTGCATGCATGCAATCGAGAGAGTGATGCTGACGAAGCCTCAATATTCTTGGGGCTTGCCAAACATTAAAAACTAACTTTAGCACGGGAGACGGCACTCGAAACGCTATGCATTTATCACGCAACTGAATGAGATCAATCGTCTCATAATATTTACTGTAGTCGGCAACAACAAGAACCGAAAAACGATGGCTGGCCACATCGGCTTCGCTCCTGGCCGCTAACACCCAAGCACAATCCACAGCACCCCTCCCCCGAGTAGCCCCCCAGTACCCGCGGCCCAAAGAACCCAAAACATCATTGAGCATGGGGCGGCGGAGCCTTTGCCAAATGCGATACATGCCAGAGTACAGTACGATTAGCCTATAACCGCTTGTCGGTTTCGGCAGCATTGGCATTAAAACCCAAAGCAATTGTCGGGGCAGGAGACCTATCGCTTCGCAGCACTGCCAAAGTTTTGCAAGCACCATGAGGCCACGATCATCTAGCAGCTGAAAATGCCGAGGGTGCAGTTGATCGAGAGCTCTTGCAGTACCCTCAGGAAAGGACCGAATCACTTTACGTATGTCCTCAACGTTCGCAACTGGAAAAGACTCTCTATCAGGGATCCATGCCTGAGGGGGAATCGCTCCAGCTTTCCAGAGCGCCTTATACATACGAGCTTCATGCTGCACAACGCTATGGGGGTCAGCCGTAGGGCCTAAAGGATCATGGACGACCGTGGGGGGGCACACACTCCGAACCTTGGTGATCCTACGTAGGCCCCTGGCTCCCCCTAATGACGCAGTTTCACACCAATCATTCCAATCTGCATCGGCTTCGCGATTAGCAGTTCTCTGGGCAGCTTCAACATCTCCTGTAATCTGCTCAAGAAACTCTAGAACAGCATCCTTATCAAGTTGCCCATCATGAAACAACTCACGCGCATGCTTACATGAGTTGTCTAGCCTAGCGCCGAGACCAAAGCCTGGATAGTCGTCAGCAGCAAAGGCGGCAACCTCATTAGCATATAGGACCTGCTGCTCGACATCCTCGTCGTGAGACGACATCTGGAGAAGGGTCTGCACAGCATTACGCAACCAAGACCACCCCTCAGCGAGCAGAACCTTCTCCGAGATGTTGGGGACAGGGTAGTCCACGCTAACCCACCTCGGTGCTATATCTCTACCGAAGCCTGCAAAGTTCGTAGCATCTGCGCCCGTGCATTCAGCTACGTACCTGGCAGTTCTTTTGGCGAAATGGCCCCAGGCAGCACTTAAAACTCCAAAAACCACCCCAGGATCAGCCTGCTCATCATGAGCCAACTCCGAACAATGATCGACGAGACCCTCGACGAACGACCAACTAGGGGGAGCAGGCTGAGGTCCAATGGGGGCCGTGACTGGAAGCTTGGGTGCGGCGGTGTATACCAGATGCTGGATACCATGCCCGTCACTCGCAAGCTCCAAGATTACTGGTCGATGTGGACGCACTGGCCACTTCTTGTCAACACTTACTGCCTTAAACGCTCGCATGCACGGATCATTGAGCCCGAAAAAATCGATGACAGAAGATCCCGTCCCACCTCTACACGTGTAGTGCGATGGGGAGACGAGGGTAGCACTGGCAAGAGCACTGAAGCCGCAAGCTTCAACAGCACTAGGTGTCATGTTCCAATCCCCCCCGACTAAACAAGGTCCCTCCACCCCACTGAAACGCGTGCCAACTGCAGCTAAATACCTGGCATTCAGAGTGGTCGCGCCGATACTCGGCACTAGGTAGAGGTTGATGGCATGCAACGGCGGCCATCCTGGCAAGTCCAGTACCACATGTAGCACACGATGCTGAACCACCTGCTCATGGAGTCCAGGGGGAACTCGAACTCCACATTGACTACGAACAAATATGGCGACTCCAGCTGTCGGTAGTACTCCAGCGGAGGGAAGTGCAGGCAGTGCCAACATCTGCCATCCTCGTCCACTGATCCACGTCTGCAGCGACTCGAGCTCGCTCTCCAGGTAGCCCGTCTCCTGTACCATGACAACTGTAGCACAAGAACGCTGAAGTCGCTTTTTCAGTGTCCGTTTACCTCCATTGGCATTGAATGACTCCAACATGTGAGACGGCGCCATCAGCATAGCGGGGGCTGCAGGAATCACACTCTTTGGTCGCAAACCAGTCACACGTGGTATCATCCTGCCCAGCTTCTTGTGACGGTCCATGCAAGGGTCTGCAGGGACCGACTCTGCCGAGGCATCATTGGGGCTAGGAGCTGCACTTTTGCCTCTTGACCTGCATCTCGGTAATCTTAGCCTGGAAGTCTTCAAAGCTGTCTGCACCCCAGAGCTCCTGCAAACTGTTGTCATCGAGCTCTGAGTAGCTGCGCTTGTCGGTGGCGGTGTCACCAGTGGGAGCTGCAGGCATCTCGGCGTCAGGGGGGCTCGCATCCGCAGCACCTCCAGAAGCGCTTGCAGCTGAAGCCCCAACACTGCCATCAGCAGGGCCAACCACACGAATATTTTTCTGGATTTCCTCCCACGCGGCGCTCTTGAAGAAGGCCTCGACACCTTCGTACTTGGAGTACATATGGTCGAGATTGTCGATCTCAATCTTGATGCCTGCTGAGGGTACCTTCGCCTCACCAGACTCGGCAGCCAGTAGAGCAGATGTACGAGCAACTTCGTTAACCAACTCTGCCACTTCAACACGCTTGGTCTCGAGCTTCGTCTTACGCTCCTCAATCGATAGACGCAACTCTTCAAACTGCTTTTCTTTCTCTTCCAACTCTATTGCTTGTCTGGCCACCGCTTGTCGTGCACGCTGCAACTCATTGGTGGCCCTCCTATGCGCCGTGGTTGGATTCCGCAGCTCTTTGATATTACCACGTAGTACTTCCAACTTTGCCTTGATACTGGATCGCAACTCATCAAACTCATCACCTGAAGGGACCTTTTTGAGCGATTCCTCCAACTGGGGGAGGAGGAGGAGGAGGAGGAGGAGGAGGAAGGACGTGGCAGGGCGACGTAGCCTGGAGGGGCTGAATCGGGAACGAAGCCCCTTATTCGGCCCTAGAAGAGACTGGGCGAAGGAGGAGCCATAGAGGAACAGCCGTGGAAGGACCTGAGGAACAGCGAGCCCCTTCCGAAGCCGAGCGGTCCCTGATTTCAGCGCCTTCACTGCACGGTCACGAGCTCGTGCTTAGCGTGTCACGGCGGTGGCCCCAGTGACACGCATGCCCTGCGAGATGATGGCGTGTCGTTCCGCTCCGCGGCGCGGGAAGCCGGGAAGAAATCGGAGCGCTGTTGCCTGAAGACCAAGTTTTGGTCAGCGTGTCGCGACGAGGCGTGGTGGGTGGGCAAAAACCGGCGGCGCGACGCTCTAGTCAAAAGCTCCTCACCGCATACTCCATTCCTCCCCTTTCGTCGTCATGTTTCCTCCTCCTCCTCTTCTGCTTATTCGTCTTCTTAGAAAAAAAGAACTGTTGGTATCATTATCCATATTACTTGTATTACCCGTATTATAAGTTCTACTCTTATTAGCATCAGTATTCGTAGTAATATGCGTCGTATGGTTATAATTAATATTATTACGATGAAAATGCTTATTCATATTATGATACTACTTAGTACTTAGTAGTCCCATTACTAGCTATTGATAAATAATACTGTACGTATTAATTTTCCCTGCTGGCTGTTACTATGATTGTTATTTTCTTCTGCTTAGTATTATTGCTCTTCCTCCTCATCCTCCTCCTCGTCCTCGTCCTCGTCCTCCTCCTCAACCTCCTCATCCTCCTCATCCTCCTACTCGGCTTCCCCCTCCCCGGTTTTCCCTGTTCCTTTTTCAGGGGGAGGCGGGAGAGCAAGAGGCGGAAAGAATGGGCAGCGGCGGGACAGACAAGGGGACGACGCAAAGGGAGGATCGTGAGCAGGTGGATTCGAGAGAAAGCGGGGAGGAAGCAGGGCGCAAGGTGGATAGGGGGCGGAACGGAATGGAATTGTCAGTTCGCGATGCGAAAAGTTTCACGACAGAGGGATGACGCCACTTGCCCATTGTTTCGGCAACGACAAGAGCCTTGGCCAAAGCTCATCCCCGACCCGATCCTGGGCACATACGACTGTCGAGACATGCATACTGCACGTGTACACTCGACTGTACGCGTCGAGCATTCTCGGATGAGCCAAACCCGCGTGCTTCGCAAAATCCGAGTTTCAGGCGGCTGTGACAGCGAAAGCCTGCGCGAAGAATACAGCCACCCCCGCACCAGCTGCAAACAACTGGAAACAGCAAATCCGAAGCCGTTCAGTGAGCTGCTTTGTCGTGGCGGACCCTCGGCATCTCCCACACACTAGCGGCCACTTCCCCGAGACAGCCTAGGCGGTGCCAAAACGGGCAACAAATGGCAGGGGCAGGGGGGGGGACCGCGCGACGCCCATCTCCACCCTGACGAGGTCTCGGACCAGCAATCATCGAATCCACGATTGTACTCAATGCATCCGACAAGCGCAAAAGTTCAGCTGTTTCCTCCGCCAACCAGGCGGCTGGCTCATTACCGATCACACTGCAGCTTCCCAAGCCTCGTACTGTAGCTTCCTCTCTCGACAGGTGCGAGCTCACGGAGAGAAATGAGACCTCGCTGCCCTTTGCCGCAGGCATGCGCCGCCCGATGGCCCAGCACAGATCCGCCGCAGCGTCGGCAGCCATGGCGCCAAGATACATTTGCCTCCTCGATCCGTTCTCGACCCCCCTCGTTGTCTGTTAAATGCTTGAACGGCCCCCTGGCGCTCCGAATGACGAGTTCCAGCGCCGCGAGTTCTCCTCGATGCACAGTCTGCCGCCAGCCTTGTAGAGGCCCGCGCGCCTTCAGTCCTAGACGAGCTGGTTCGGCGCACCCGACGATAACGAAAGCAAGACCTACTCAACGCAGCTTGGGCGAACGCGCGTTCCATCCTCAGGCAGCGCCTCCGCGCGCGAGAAGCCGTCAAGCCGACGAACTCGCGGCAACAATCCCTCCACTGTCGAGCTGCGAAACTGAGAAGCCCCAGTCCACTGTCTCCCGCGGCTGTCGCGCCGCCGCCCATTGCCTGGGGGCCACCCCCTGGACCAGAAGCACTCGCATTGTTGGCGAAGCCCTGCTGGCCGAGCCACGGCATGCTCGACTGTCGCGATTCCGCGGGCATGGCCAGCACCAGCGGAGAGGATTATTCCGACCCCGGTTACCATGTAGTTGGGAGCGAAGGCACAAGTGGAACACCTCGCCACCAACGTCAAACCACGCGCGCGCTGCCGTGCCCCTCTAATCGCCACCGCCAGCAGAGTCTCCGACCACTGAGCTCATTCGGGCATCTCTCTCAGCCTCCGCAACACGATGCGATGTGAATCCTCGTCAATTCTCCCCTGGCATCCCTTCTCCGCAGAAACGACTGACTGCCTGACTGCCCCCGCGCGCAGGAGAGAACTGCCTTGGCGATATCTGATTGCACGTCGCCGAGGTCTTCAGGGCTCGCGCACATTTCTGGGGGGCGCCGACCAGCCCGCCCACTCGCCCACCCGCCGCGATGGAGCTGCCAGAGCGAGGGAGCGATCGGGCCCCACGCGCACTGTGGAAGGGCGGCAATCACTGCACGGAATGGCCCGCGGCGGCGGCGAGCCCCCCCAGCGCGAGCGACGGCCTTCAAATCCAGAACTATTGGACTCCATTCTCCATCGACTAGGGCGCGAATCTCGCTGTGAGAAGTCCACGATAGTAGCCGTTCTTTATTGCGCCCCCTGTTGAACTGAATCGCCGGGCCCTGCTGCAACGCGCGAAAAACTAACGTCGCAACGGAACAGCGCCCTCTGCGGTCGGGCCCGCACCCCGCCCCCGACCCGCGTCGTAATTTCCGCAACTTTGCCCCGAACACCCCGTGGATTGATGTCCACTACGCGCAGCCGTCTGCCCCGTCACCTTCCCCAAACTGGCTCTTACTGCGCACTGGCGACTGGCTCTGGCCCGCGCGGGAAAGCGGCGCTTGCGTCGGCCTGCCTCGATGATCACCCCGCGCCGCGCGACGCGTGCAAGACGTCTGCCGGCTACAAGGTCGACTCTTAAGCGCGGCGCCCGAATCGCCGGTCGCACGCGGTAGACGCGCCGCCCCAGGGCAACCGCGACGGCCTGCGCTCGCCAGCACGCCTTCGCTGGCAACTGACAAAGTCCCCCCTGCAAGAAACTCGAGCGTCTCTGAAATTCATTCGACCATGCTGCAATAAGCCTACCACGAAAATACCAATATCACCGACCGCTATCCGAGAGCTCTGGCTCGGATTACCTGCGGCGAGGCGCCGAGGGGCCGACCGGGTCGCGCGCGCGCTGGACCTCGCCCCGTCGCGTCTGCCCTGAATGATGGACCACGCGGGTTGGCCAGGGCGCGACGTCGACCCAAGCTGCATCATCAACCCCGGCGCCGCACACAGCCGGAGCTCCAAGCACGGCGCTGTCGGGGGGAAGTCGAGCTTCAGCGGCGCGCGCACCAAAAGTGCCCGCGCACGCGCGCCATGGGAAAGGCTGGCCATCTAACTAGGACGGCACGCGCACGCGAGACCCCCGGCGCCCCACGCGCGCATATATGCATACACATCCTCGCACAACGTTCTGAGAACGGCCGCAACGCACAGTTTCGTTTGAATGTTGCGCCCCAACCTTTTGAAGCAACCATAATTTCGAGACGCCCTCTGGTCACCGACCATATTCTTCACGCCATGCCGATGAGAACGATCACTCGAGCTCCTTTAGCCTCCTCGGGGAGAAGGCGGCCCTCCACGACTGGGAGCTGCCGCGGCCATGCCATGGCTCTTTCTCCTCGGCTGTCGATAGCCTGACGAGCTCCCCCAAGGCCTGCAGCGGGGGCCCCTGGACGCCCAGCGGCGCAAGTCCGTCGACCCCGAGCCCCGAGCCCCGGCCAGGGCATCATTCGCTTCAACGCTTTGCCCGGAGAGCTCACGCCGACGGGCTCGAGCGCCACCGGCTCCGACGCCGTGCGAACGGGGCGAAACAACTGAACGGCACCTTCCTCGCCCGCGTTCTCCGACGCCCAAAGTGCACGCCATTGCTCCACTTTGTGATCAACCACGTCCATTGGGCGACGCGATGCATCTACAATCTCGACGGCGCACTCGCCCACCGCAAGGGGCGACCCCCTGAGACTACGAAATAACGATCCCGCGGATTCAGCTGACGCGACCCACGATCTAAACTCAGCCAACGATTCGCCGATTGAACGACTCTGCGCTTTCTCCGCCACTCGGAGAGCACCCTGTTCCAAGAATATGAGAACGTCAACGGCCGCCTCGCCGACGCGCGCAAGTGGACCCACCCAGGCCCCCAAGATGGATCGGCGTCTCGTAGTCCGCGACGGACTCCGCCAGGGGGAACGGCGGCGAGACGCCAGCATGCGCGTCGACGATGCTCCGGCTGAACCTCTCCGCTGCCCCTCTGGCAATGTCAGAGCAGTTGCAGCAAGACCGCGCGCGCGCATGTCTGCCATCTGATCTCGAGTTGCCACCTCCCTGACTTTGCGGGGCACGTGCACCTCCTTGACTCTGAGTCTCGGACCCTGGGCGCGACTGGCTGAAAAACTCATGTCTGACTCGCTTCACCCCTCTGACTGCGACGCGCCAGAACCGCCCGCTCAACTGCTGCGATCCCGCGTCGCGCAAGCGGCACTGGTGGCAAACAAGTGCTTCAGACCTCCGGCAGAAATGGCTACTCAATCACATGCAGGTGGCCACGCATTACTCCCATTCAGCCCAACTCTACCGACTCTCTCGCGCACATGAACCCAGGCGCCGTCAGAATCGCGAAAAAGCGGGCTCCCGCTGGGCCCCCTTGGCAGCGAGACCTCCGGGGGTCGCAACGGGGAGTGCCGTCCGAAGTCGGGCTTGGGGCGGCCTCATATTGCATTCCATTTGCACGTCGTCCATTTCTAACCGGGCCCATGTCCAGTTGCGCTCGTTTCGAATTGTTCCTGGCCAGAAAGGGGCCCGGAAAAGAACAATTAGAAATGAAAGGATCTTGGCCCAACCAAAAAATCAAAGAACCTTCGAAGAATTAGACATGCACAGTGTGCACATTATCACAACAATCGCGAGACGCCGCGGGGCGCGGCCAAGGTTCAGGAGGGGGGGGACAGCAGTGGCAGCAGCAGCAGGAGGAGCAGCCGCGAACGGAGGAGAGGAGCTCGGCCTCAGCCTGAACTCAGTTTCGTCTGCCGACGGGGCCCCCCTCGAGGTCGGGCCCCCAACCCCAGGCCGCTTCTCCCCCGAACAGATTACTGTCCGAGATGACCTCCAACCGACGATGAACCAATCCATATAAGGCCGCTCGTTTTGCAGCGGCCAATTGCTTGAGCTCAAGATACTTTCTACGAGACTCCGAAAGCGCGGGCCCAAGTGCGGCCCCCACTCTAGGACGACCTTCCTGGGGTAACCTCGCTGGCAAATCGAGAGCTCCGACTAACAATTGCGTCCCCGACCCCCGCATGCGCACCTGGAACTAGATGTGAATACTCCACGGGACTTGCACAAAGAAGGCGATGGTGACTTCGGTCTAGGATCCCGCTGCACCCGCGGTGCACGAGGCCACTAAATCACATGTGAATATCCCCCCTCCGATGGACGGGACGAAACCAGCATTGGCAAGGAATGGGGCTGAAATGCGGAAATCACCGATGACGAGCCACGGTACTCGCAACGCTCTGACTAGAGCGCTTAGCTTGTGCTATATGATGAGGCCGCCGCCTGTCTTTCCTACAGGTGATGGACCATGAAGCACGACGACGACAAGACCGAACCCTCGAAAATGAACAACAATCGCACAGAAGCAATCATTGGCACTACCCTGCCGTGCCCTGAAGCCTCCATGTCGAGCAGCTGACGGCGCATGAAACTGACGATTTCATCCTCCAAGAAACCACGATCCACCCTCATTGGCTCTACAATCAGTAGCGTCACTGCGGGCTTGTCCTGACGGGCGAGCATGGTTCGGTTTGAGATTGAGTCCACAAGCCTGCGCCTCTTTGTGCCGCTGCCGCGCTGCATCTGCTGCCACGTGGGTCTCCACGAAGGCCCAAAACTAATCCTGCTGCACATTCTCCATATGGCCATGCTTGAGAATGTTTCGTGAAAATCCCATGCACGTCACATTGACAAAAAACAGGCGACATTCCTCATCATGCGGCTCATACTGAAAGTCGACTAGCACAGGCTGATTGAACGATGATATTGAAACCGACGTTGTCTCCGCACAGGATTTGCTGTCACCCAGGACCTGAGAACTTGAAGTGGCTGACAGCGAAGCTACTGTAGCCACAGGAGCTGCATCTTCATCGACAGGAACACGCGTGAAGCGCAAATCAAACATGTTGATGATTGTGGCGTTGGACCTGACGCCGCTGTTCGTCGGAGCATCCCGCTCCCCCTCCGTGGGAGGCTCCGACTGTAGCTCTCACGCGTTGCTCTTCGGGCCCTTGCTCTTGCCGCTCTTGCCGTTGCTGATGGCTGCCGCTGCGTTCTTGACGTCCTGATGCGTCTGGGCCACCGCCTCAACTGCCGAAATCTTGCTGATCGAGATGGCCACCGCGCTGGCTGTCAAGGCTGGGTCAGCGCTGCCACCTTCACCAGTGGATGCTGCTGCACGGGCCTCCCCAAAGCCCGCCGTTGCAGCTGACTGGGGTGCTGCCGCGCTGGTCCCCTCGTGGTCGACGGGTATACCGATGGCCTCGGAGCCCAAGTCGCCCGGTGTCTCGGCCTTCCTCTTCTTCAACACTTTGGTGTTGATCGCCTCATGCAGCGCTTTCGCCCTGGCGACGCGCCGCTTCACGTCGTCGGACTCGACTGCAAGCTGCGTCCTGTGTTGCTGCAGCCCCTGGCGGATCAGCCTGAGTGCCCCCTTCTCGGAGGCCTTCTTGGTCTGCCTCGGCCAGAACTGCAGATCTGAGCCCCGGCTGCTGGGGTGCAGGGTGGACAGGGGGAGACGGCGGCGAAGGGGAGCGGGGGTGGAGGAGGCGGGGGTGGAGGAGGCGGAGGAGGAGGAGGAGGGGGAGGAGGAGGAGGAGGAGGAGGAGGATGAGGAGGATAAGGAGGAGGAGGAGGAGGCAGGGCAGAAGGAGAGGGGGCGGAGGAGGAGCAGCGGGGAGGTGGCCGTCGGTCTCGAAGAGCTGGATGGAGGAGCCATGGTGCTGGACCTCCCCCACGCGGCGGACCTCCACGCACCTGTGGGCGCCCCTGACGCGGCCGTCCGTGCACTCGCCGTCCCCGGGGGCGGCCCTCTGCGCTCCGGAGGCCTGGGCGTCGCACCTTCGGCTGCCCCGGGCATCGCAGCACGCGACCCGCAGGCGCGCGGGCACGGAGCTCCACACGCAGATCGAGCACGCGAGCCGAGCGCGAGGCGTTCGCCAAAACCGCGGGCCGACACGTGCGCACCGAGCCAGCACTCAGTGTTTTCGGCCGGGGCGTTCCCGAGCACGGCACGTGCCGCGTGTCAGCACGGGCGTATCAGGGCCGCTAGGCCGCTGAGCGCCGCGCTTGGCGAAGAAGGAGCGCGCGACCATCTCCGCGAAGAGCGGAGGGTACGGGTGCCCGACGTGGACGTAGAACTGCTTCCAGGCCTCGTTGCTCGGCATGTAGAGGCACCCCCCGTGCAGGAGCGACGGCCCGTAGTCCTCGCAGGATCAGTCGGCATCGCATCGGGAAGTCGGGTCGGGTCGGAATGTGCGGCGCGGATCGGGCTGCCTCGGCACGGAACCGGAATCGAGGCGGCTCGGCTGCGCCAGAAGGCACCACAGCACCATGCAAGCATCGGACCGCACCGTACCGTCGGAACGGCAGGATCGAGTCGGATCGGGCTGGCCGAAATCGGTGCCGCATCGGATCGGTTCGATCGGATCGACATGGACTCCGCCTTGTCGCGCACGTAGCTCAGGATGTGTTGCGAGTGGTACATGGTCGGGACCTCTGGGGGAAAAGAAGATGCCGATGCCGCTACTCCCCAGACCTCTCCTGGGGTGGGTTCTGACCAGAATAAAACCCCACCAGGGCTTAGGTGGCTTAAGGCGTTTCCTCTTCCAACCCTTCTTCCCCTTCGGGGAAGGGCTATCACTGGTCCCTCTTAATATACACCCCCTCCCCCATCCGACCAGCGACAAACCCGGGAACAAGCGGGCATACACACACACCACTATCCCCTGCAAAAACACAATACGAATGCACTTGTTACCAAAATCTGGGTCATTCGCGGACGCCCCGCGATTGCTTTGCATTGGCTTTTGACAGGGACCGCGGCGGGGGGTGTCGGAACATTGCCTGCTGCGCGCACGGCCAGCATCCCCCCACCAACCCCTTGCAAAAAAAGCACCATACGACTTGCAACTTGCACCAACATCTGGACCGTGCGCGGACGCCCCACGATCACTTCGCATTCGTTCTTGACAAGGGCGCCAGGGGGGCTGGTTCGCACTGACAAGGCCAGCGGAGGGAAGGGGGGCCGGCCTGCTGCCTGCTGCGCACAGGCCCACCGTCCACGTCAAGAGCTTTTTTTGATCCGCGAGTCGAGAGCGCACCTCTTCCGGTCGAAGCTAAGCGGGCCGCGCGAAGCTTGAATTAGCCAGAGATGGGAGAGGAAGAGGGGGGCGCAGCCTCAGAAGGAGGCCGGGAGGAGGCAAAGCCTCGGGATCAGGCGGTGCCGTAGTCGACGTACTTGCAAAGGAGCGCCTTTTCCATGAACCCGGTGGCGCACACGTCAAGAACACAAGCAGAGTTATTGCGGGTGCCCACCCGCACACCATACACAATGTCCGCCGACCCGCCGCCACGGTGCTTTGCTACTTGGGCATGGCTGGCGGGAGGCTCACTCCCAATGTGGCGCACCTGTTGCGCGTGGCGCACACGGCGCGTGCGGCGCAGCTCGCGGGCTTCGCGCACCTGGCTGGCGTCTGCAATAGTTTCCGATGGTTGTCGATGGGGGCCCCAGCCTCAGCTGAGACTTGAGTTCTACTTATGTGGTGGGATGGCGGGTGGGAGTGAGCGAGACTGCTTGCGGCGTTCTCGCTGAGAACTTGACCTGTCCACCTACCCCCTACCCCTGGGTCTGGACGGGGGGTCGCGAGTTGTAGGAACGTCCAACGAGGCCTCAGCGAGAAGACAAAAATATGCAAACTTCGTCGGTTTTGATCAAATGTTGGCCTCTTGGGGGAGGGGGCGCTCATTAAGGACCCCCCCCTCGTTGATCGATAGCCCCCCAGGTGGCCCAAGACGGCCCGAAAAGCCTTTAAGAGAGCCCCAAGAGGCCCCCAACAGGCCCCCAATAGGTCCCAAGAGGCCGCCCTAGAGGCACCTAAGAGGCTCAGATAACTCCCACAAGAGCCGGCAAGAAGCCCCCAAGACGCCCTAAGATGCCTCTGAGAGGCTCTGTAGACACTCCACGTGAACCAAGGAAGCATCCATGGGGCCTCTGGCCGACACAGCCCCCCCTATCTACAAATGATGGCACGCCCCCACGTTCAGGGCAGCTTCGCTGGGCATCGTGTGCCTGAATGGGTTGGTGGGGATGCGCGGAGCGTTCACAACTTCGAAGAGAATCCGGCCGTGGTGACCAGGGCCCTCTAGGACGACGAGATCATTTTTCCAGTGCGCGGCCCCAGAGGTCTCCACCCCGCCCTCGAGGCCAGCTCTTCGCCCCGCACTCGTGCTGGAGGGCCCAAGCCCCGACAGTGGCCCCCAGAGGCCGAAAGCTTGGGGAAAACGCCCAGATTGAAACCCTCGTGCCGTCCGTCTTCTCCACCCCTGGACCCCGGCCAGCGTCGTCAGCAGCGCATCGTATGCGCCCAGGTGCGCGGCCTCCCTGTCGGCGAGGCGCTCGTGGGCGCGCGTGCGGTAGGTGGCGTCGGGCGCGGGCCCGACGGCGTCAGCGGCCGGGTCGTCCTCCACCAACGCAGAAGCCTGCGGGAGTTCCTCCTCCTCCTCCTCCTCCTCCTCCTCCTCCTCCTCCTCCTCCTCCTCCTCCTCCCCCGTCGACGAAGAGGACGACGACGACGACGACGACGACGACGACGACGACGAGCACCACGACGACGACGACGACCATGACGAGGACGACGACGACGACGACGACCACGACCACGACGACGACGACGACGACGACCACGAGGACGAGAACGAAGACGGCAACGACGACAACGAAAACGACGACGACAACGACGACGACCACCACCACGACGACGACGATGACGACGACGACACAGAAAACGACGACAACCACGACGACGACGACAGCGACGAGGACAACGACGACGACGACGACGACAAGGACGACGACGACGACGACGAGGACAACGACGACGATGACGACGACGACCATGACGAGGACGAGGACGAGGACGACGACGACGACGACGAGAACCACGACGACGACGACGACGAAGACGACTACGACGACGAGAACGAAGATGGCAACGACGACGACGAAGACGACGACGACAAAGACGACGACGACGACCACGACGACGACGACGACGACAACAAAGAGGACGACGACGACGACGACCACGACGACGCCCTCGACGACGACGAAGACGACGACGACAAAATCGACGACGACGACGAACACGACGACGACAACGACGACGACGACAACGACGACGAGGACGCGACGACCACGATGACGACGACGACGACGACAAAAACGACGACGACGACGACCACGACGACAACGACGACGACGACCACCCAAAGACGACGACGACGAAAACGAAGACGACGACGACAACGACGACGACGACGACCACGACGACGACGACGACGACGACGACGACGACGACGGCGACGGCGACGGCGATGGCGACGGCGGCGATGACGACGAGCATGACGAGGACGACGACGAGAAGGAAGACACGAAGAAAACGACGACGACGACGTGGACGAGGACGACGACGACGACGACGACGACGACGAGGACGACGAGGACAACAACGATGAGGACGACAAAACGGACGAGGACGACGACAACGACGACGACGACGACAAAGAAGACAAGGACGACGACGACGACGACGGCGACGACGACGGCGGCGACGACGACCACGACGACGACGACGACTCAGACGACGACGCCGACACGGAAAAGCCAACGACGACGACGACGACGACGACCACGAGGACGACGACGACAACGACGACGACAAGGACGACAACGACGACGACGACGAGGACCGCGATGATAACGACGACGAAGACGACGACGACAACGACGACGACGAAAACAACGACGACAACGACGACAAAAAAGAAAAGAACGACGACGACAACGACGACGACGAACACGACGACGACAAGGAAAACGACGACGACGCAGAAAACGACGACGACCACGACGACGACGACGACGACCCAGACGACGAAGGCAACGAAATCGACGACGATGACGAAAAACACGACGACGACGGCGACGAACACGACGACCACGACGACGACGACGACAATACGACGAAGATGGCGACGACCACGACGACAACGACTACGACCACGACCACGACGACGACGAAGACGAAAAAGAAAGCGACGACAAGAACACGGCGACGACGACGACGACGACGACCACGGTGACAGGGACAACGACGACGACGACGACGACGACGACGTCGACGACCGCGACGACGGCGACGACGACGACGACGATGACGACGACGACAACGACGGCGACCACGACGACAACGACGACGCCGACGATAACGACGCTGAGGACGACGACCACGACGACGACGACGACGACGACGACGACGACCACGACGACGACGACGGCGCCGACGATGACGGCCACGACCACGACAACCACGATGACGACGGCGACGGCGACGACGACGAGGACGATAAGCACGACGACGACGACAAAAGGATGACGATGACGATAACGACGACGACGACGACGACGACGACAATCATGATTACGACAAGGAGGACGACGACGCAGACGACGACGACGACACCGACAACGACGACGACGACGACAAGGAAAACGACGACCGCCACGATGACGACGACGACGACAACGACGAGGACGACGACAACGTCGACGACGACGACGGCGACAACAACAACCACGACAATGACGACGACGCAGACGACGACGACGACGAAAACGACGACGAGAAAAAAGACGAGAAAAACGACGAGGACGACGACCACGACGAGTAGGACGATCACGACGACGAAGACAACGACGACGACAGCGACGAAGACGAAGCAGAAAACGACGGCGACCACGACGAGTACGACGACGACGGCGACGACGACGACGACGACAAGGACGACGAGGACGACGACCACGACGGAGACGACGACAACGACGACGACGACGACGACGGCGACGACGACGACGATGACGACGATAGTGACGTCAACGACGGCGACGACGACGACGAACATCACCACCACTACCACCACCACCACCGCGACGACGACGACGACGACGATGACTACGACGGTTATCCACTGTAACCGTCCTGTTACCCTCGGGTTTGTTACATAAGAGACGAAGAAAGAAAAAAAGAAAAAGCAAAAACAAAACGCTTCTAGCCACTGCGAACCTCGCCCACGAAAAGGTACCCTGGCCAAGATCAGAGGAATGGCCCGAGAATCTGAGCCCCTCCTGATCCGTTATCTCAGCGCCTTGATTGCACACCTCCTTTCTCCTCCTCCTCCTCCTCATCATCATCATCATCATCCTCCTCCCCCGTTTCGTCCTCCTCGTCTTTCCTCATCATCCTCCCCCGCTTCCTCCTGCTCCTCCTCCTCCTCCTCCTCCTCCTCCTCCTCCCCCTCCTCCTCCTCCTTCCCCGCTTCCTCATCCTCCTTCTCCTCCTCCTCCTCCTCCTCCTCTTCCGTTTCCTGTTTGTCTCCCCGTTCCTCCTCCGCTTCCCGGCCAGAGGCGCACAGGGGGCCTGGTGCGAGCGGCACGAAATACGCGCTGCTCCAATCCAACGTTTTACGCGAACCCATATTGCACCACTGAAGTTCCGCCCAGCAGCACGCGCCACTGTTCGCGGCCCGAATGGCCAGGCATTACACCGCCGCGGCGGCGGCGAATCCAGCGCTCGACCACGGACCACACCGATGCCGGCGTTTGCGGGCCAGCTCGGGCTGACAATCTCGCCCGCAGGATGCACGACGAGCTCATGGCGCAGATCCTGCACCGCCCAGCGCATGAGCTCCTTGAGCTCCCTCACAGCCGAGATCGCGGCGCCGCGGGCGTCGCTGTCCTGCGTGGCGCCCCTCTCGAGGCCGAGCAGGCGCGAGTTCGGCGGCATCTCATCGCGCCCCCGCGACTGGCCGTTGGCGGCGTCAAGCGGACGATCGAGGACCGAGGACCCGGAAAAAAACGCGCACCCGGGCGGCCCTGGACAGTTGCACCCCGCGTCCACACCCGATTTTTCTGACGGCGCGCCGCCCGCGCCAATCGGCCGGGCCCCCGTTTGTTCAGGCGCGCCGCGCCCACCTGGGCACCCCCTGAGTTCGGGAAGGCCGACGCCAGAATTCTCGCGAAAGGCGGCCGCTGCGTCTACCGCCTGGACCCCGGCGCGGGACTTTGCCCCAGCGCCCCTCCTGTACTTGCCGCCCGCGCCCTTCTTCTGCGTCGGCCCCTTGCTCGACTCGGGCCAGAACCCGCCGGGCGCCACGGCCGCGTGTAACGCGGGCGCGGCCCTGGCCTGGAATGTAGAAATCCACCGGTCGACGACGAGCGGCGACGAGGGCAATCGAAGAGCCGCATGGCCATAACTCATCAGATTCCGAACAGAAGCACACGCGCGCGATCGCGGCCACGACAACGCGGGCCCCCGAGAGCAAGACCTTCATTTCCTCGTCTTTTGAAATCTGCTCCCGGGACGGCGCGATGAGATACGTGAGCTGCTAGAGCGGGATCTCCACGCCTCGCCTTCGGCGCCAAGCTGCCGCCGAGCTTCTCCAACGCATCATCGAAGCTGTCGTTCACGGCCTGGCGGAACGCCCCTAAGGCGAACGCCCCGGGCCTCCCACCTCGCCCACAAGGCGGGGCCCCCCTCGCGAGGGTTGAGGAACGCCTTCAACGGGGGCGCGCCCTGCTCGCACTCGCAACCGTCGTCAAACCGCGCGGGAAGCACCCTCTCCGCGGGCTCGCCTTTGATGAGATGAGAACGCTCGGCGGCGGCGACGATGGAAGGTTCGGGAAAGCGCTCCCCAACGTCGCCCTCCAGGGCGTAGATCTCGAGCCTGGACATCAAGGACGCAAGGGTCTTCGACGCCGTCGGTTCCCCCGCGCTGGCCTCGCCGACCACGAGCACGCCGTTGCGGCGAAGCGCCGGCAGGACCTTCGCGAGCGCCTCCTCGACGAACCACGACTCGATGCCCTTCAGAGCGAGCGCCCAGACAGCGAGGCGCCCAGCGCTGCCGCGCCCGCCCGCGCGGTTCTGCAACACTTGGATCGCACAGGGCCCCTCCCAACCGTGGATTTTCGACTGCGGGTCGTTGATTCCCTGGGGGGGAGGAACAACGGCACCGCTGGGCTAGCCGCAATCGTTCGGCGGCCAGAAAGTCCGCGCGGCCGAGGAGAGCACCGGGAGGTGGAAGGGGGCAAACGGGCTACTCAGATGGCGACGCGTTCCCCCGCCCAACTGTCCTTGTCCGCGAAGTCAATGAAGTGGTTGTTGCGGTCGCCGCAGGCCCCTCTTCCCAATGCGCCGGCGCCCCTCGAGCGTCTTATCCCACTCGGTCGACTGCTCGGCAGGCTCCGCCGCCGATGTCAGCGCAAGAAAATCTGCAAGCCGCCGAATTTCTCGACGAGATAACAGATCGCATTGCGCCCTGCCCTACGACCATTCCCACGCTTGCACACGTTGCCTGCACCGTGGCAAGTGGGTTCGCACGTGAACACCTTCAGGAAGTGGCCCTTCAGGTCAACGCCCTTGAAAATGTGCATTTTTGCCCTCGCCAGCGCCCGCGACGAAAATCTGCATGAAGCGCGGCCCGCAAGGTTGACTCTTCAGTTTGAACGGCGGAGGGGAGCCGCTGAGATTCGACTTCGCCGCAAGGTCCTCGACCGCGTCCAAGCGGCACGGTTGCCCCCGGGCGTCCATCCACCCAGTGAGGACACCTACGGCTTCCCCGTCGGAGCCTTGGATCTTCTCGCGCGCCTGGTTTATCAACAGGCCCCCAAAGTAGAAGATCTCCGCGCCCGCGCGGACGTTCGCGGGCGCAGCTGGAAGGCCCCAAATCTTCGACAACACCTCTTACCAGACGTGGCCGCGCGGGAGGCCAACGCGAAAGTGGGGCTTCATGCCGTCGGCGCGCGCGAGGGCTTCACCGAAGTTGATGCTCTTCTCCCCAACGGCGCCCCCAAGAGTCTCGCGGAGGGTCTTGGGGAGGATAGCATTCCCCCTAGCCACGGCAGCCGCAAGAGAAAAGCGCAGGCGCGAAAGAAGCGATCGATGAAACAGCTCGAGCCGATCGAGCAGCACGGAACTTCGTGGAAGGAAGACAGGCAAGGGCTCCATAATGTGCCACCCCATCAGAGCAGAGCGTCGGCGTCGGCCCCCCTGCGGGATGGCAAAGACAGCCCGTTTTAGGATGCCGTTGTTTCTGATGAGCGTTACTAACTCATGTCTCATCTGAGGGGGGCAGAGCTGCTGCACAATCACCATCATCAGCATCATCATAATCATCATCAGCAGCAGCAGCATCATCGTCATCACCGTCATCATCAGCATCATCATCATCAGCAGCAGCATGATGGTCATCATCAGCATCCGCATCATCATCAGCAGCAGCATCATCATCAGCAGCAGCAGCATGATGGTCATCATCAGCATCAGCATCATCATCAGCAGCATCAGCAGCATCGCCAGCATAATCCAAATCAGCATCAGCTTCAGCATCATCATCATCGTCATCGTTGGCATCATCACCAGCATAATCAGCATCGCTTTCATCATTACCATCATCAGCAGCATCAGCATCATCAGAAGCATCCCCTTCATCCTCCTCCTCCTCATCATCATCATCGTCCTCCTCACCATCATCCTCTCATTATTATTGTTATTATTATCCTCATCCTTATTCCCTACCTAGGCTCTGCCTAGAAGGGTTTTTACTCTTTTTGCTTAAAGGGGCCAGGCAGTGGGAACCGGCCCGGGCGGTTCCCCCAGGATCCGCCCCACGGTTCCCCCAGCTACGTCCCCTTAGCCTAGCGTTGCTTATCTCCTCTTAGCTTAGCCTAGCTTAACTTAGCTTAGCTTAGTTTAGCTTAGCCTAGCCTAGCCTAGCCTAGCTTATCTTAGCTTAGCTTAGCTTAGCTTAGCTCAGTTTAGCTTAGCTTGGCCTAGCCTAGTTTAGCTTAGCTTAGCTTAGCTGAGCTGAGCTCAGCTTCGATTAGCGCAGCGTAACGTTAGCATAGCATAACCTAACATAGCATAGCATAGCATAGCATAGCATAGCGCAACATAGCATAACGCAGCATATCATAGCGTCCCATAGCATAGCAAAGCATAGCATAGCGCAACATAGCATGGCATAGCATAGCATAGCATAGCATAGCACAGCATATCATAGCATAGCATATCATAGCGCAGCATAACATATCATAGCATAGCGCAGCATAGCATGGCACAGCATAGCGCGACATAGCATAGCATAGCATAGCATAACATAGCATAGCGCAGCATATCAAAAGCAAAAGCAAAGGCAAGGCAATGCAAATCAAAAGCAAAACGAATGCGAAAGTGTAGATGCAGATGTAGATATAGGTGTAGGTGCAGATGTGGATGTAGGTGTAGATGTAGATGTAGATGTAGATGTAGATGTAGATGTAGATGTAGATGTAGATGTAGATGTAGATGTAGGTGTAGGTGTAGGTGTAGATGTAGATGTGAGTCTCGCTGGTGATACTGATGTAGATGTAGATGCAGGTGTAGATGTTAATGTAGATGTCGGTGTAGATGTAGATGTTGTTTTCCTAGATGTTCCAACTCCTAGGTAGGGTCGCACTCGGATAATTCTTATCATTAGTATGTGTATTACTCGTCCTCCTCATCCTCGTCCTCCTCCTCCTCCTCCTCCTCCTCCTCCCCCTCCCCCTCCTCCTCCTCCTCCTCCCTCCTCCTCGCCTCCTCGCCTCCTCCTCTCCTCCTCCACCGCCACCTCCTCCTCCTCGTCCTCCGCCTCCTCCTCCTCCTCCTCCTTCTCCTCCTCCTCCCCTCCTCCTCATCTCCTCCTCCTCCTCCTCCTCCTCCTCCTCCTCCTCCTCCTCATCATCCTCCTCCTCCTCCTCCTCCTCCTCCTCCTCCTCCTCCTCCAAATCAGAACCCCTTTTCCGGGAGCAGAACCAACGAAAATCACATGAAACAAGCAAAACAAACATAACAACGAAAACAAAGCAATGCTTCGCAAGGAGTCGCTTTCAGTCTGGACTAGCACAAAACATTGTGTGTTTGTAGTTTGGTGTGGTTGCCCTGTGGGGCTGTTCCAAGGGTCTGAGGGAAGGAAGAGAACCACTGAGGTGGAGCAGGAGAAGTTGTGTTTCCCCCGAGGAGGAAGAAGAGGAGGAAGAGGAAGAAGAGGAGGAAGAGGAATGGCTTTGAAATGGCCCAAGAAGGCCCCCCACGGCAGTCGCATGCCAGAAACATTGACCCTTGAAATCAACAAGGCCCTCTTTGCGCCTGAAGCCCCGCCTCCTCCCTCCTCCTCCTCCTCCTCCTCCTCCTCCTCCGCCTCCTCCTCCTCCTCCTCCTCCTCCTCCTCCTCCTCCTCCTCTTCCTCAGCAGCAGCAGCAGCATTAACATCAGACGACGACGACGACGACGACGACGACGACGACGACGACGACGACGACGACGAAAACAGCGGCGATGACGCTGCCCTCGCCCGAGCTCTGCCGCGTCCTGCAGCCCAGCCGCGCCGCGCGAGCAGGCCGCGAGGAGCCCGAGCGACTGCGCCAGCACGCGCATGCCCAGAGCCTTCCCGCCCTCCTCCTCCTCCTCCTCCTCCTCCTCCTCCTCCTCCTCCTCCTCCTCCTCCTCCTCCTCCTCCTCCTCCTCCTCCTCCTCCTCCTCCTCCGTCATGCCTCACCCCTTTCATCCTCCTCCACCATCAACATCCTCGTCACAGCCGTCGGCGTTTTGCTCCTCCTCCTCCTCCTCCGACAACGACGACGACGACGACGACGACGACAACGGCGGCGGCGGCCTCCTACTCTCCCTCCCCCTCATCATCATCATCCGACCTCCTCCACCACCACCACCACCCTCCTCCGCCCGGAACCGTGCCTGTCGGCAAACAGTCGAACGTACGGTTTGCGAAACGAGATTCTATTGAGCCACAATCTCTTGAGACGGTGAAGTGACGAGTGAGAGAGGCGGAGCAGGAGAGCGAGGAGCGGACAGGGACGACGAAGAGAACAATGAAGATGACGAGGACGACGGAGGAGAAAGAACAAGAGAGAAGAAGGAGGAGGAAGAAGAGGAGGTGGAGGAGGAGGAGGAGGCGGAGGAGGCGGAGGAGGAAGAGAAGGAGGAGGAGAAGGAGGAGACGGGAGAGGAGGAGGAGGAGGAGGAGGAGGAGGAGGAGGAAGGTAGGAGGAGGAGGATGAGGCGGGGGAGGAGGAGGGAGTGAGGAGGAGAGGAGGAGGAGGAGGAGGAGGAGGAGGAGGAGGAGGAGGAAGAGGAGGAGCAGGAGGAGGAGGAGCAGGAGGAGGATCAGGAGGAGGGGACAATAGCTGTCTGCCCCCCGCTGTGCAGCAGCACGCCAACGGGGCGCAGGCGCAACAGGGCTGGAAAAAAACGTAAGCGGCGCCACGGGTGAGCGCAACAAAACGAAAGCCAATAGAAACTGAGCGAGGCGACGCTACATGAAGCTGAGCCATTCAGTAAGCTAAACCAGACCTGACCATTACAGGATGTTCAAGTGCAAAACAAAGCAAAGCAAAACATCTTTTTTTTATAAAAAACAAAAAAAATGATCTCAGACCAAACAAGATGGTGTTTATGTGTGTTTGGACGGGTTATGTCAGACAAGACTGCGCTTGATCTCACACGTGCCTGGACCCTGGAGGGTGATGATCTCCCCCGCCATCCAAGGGCTGCTCATCGGGGGGGAGAGAGAGAGAGAGAGAGAGAGAGAGAAAAAAAAAAAAAAGGGGATGAACGCAGGGCGCGGATGAGAACGAGCGAGTCGCGAACAAACAAGCCCAGCTGCAAAACACAGGGAGAGGGAGAGAGAATTAGAGAGAGATATATAGAAACAAAAAAAAACGACGGAGAGAGAGAGAGAGAGAGAGAAAGAAAGAATAAGAGAGATGGAGAGAGAGAGAGAGAGAGGGAGAGAGAGAGAGAGGGGGGAAAAAGAGAGAGAGAGAGGTTGATACGAATCTGCAGGTCGCAGAACAAGCCAAACGAGCTCAGCACGGAGAACCACGCCCATGGCAGGGGCCGATGACCCAGAAGCCAGCCCCGAGCTCGGAGAAGGTTCGGCCGGGTGCTGTCAGGCGGGGCCGCCGCGGAGGGAGCGGCCGTGCTGCCCGCGGCTCCGCGGAGGCTCCGAGAGGGCTGTGTTGCGGCACGGCGGGCCCCTCCCGCAGATTAGGCTCCCCACGATCCTCCTCTCTTCTCCCTCCTGCTGTCCTCTCGAGCGCTCCTCTCGAATCGGGTGCTGCTGCAAGTGGCCCTGCCCCAGGGTGCCCCCCAGCTTCTCGCGCCGTGTGGGAGCACCCGGGGGCCCCGTGGGCCTCGCGAGGGGTTCTCTGGAGGCCGTGGAGGCCCCGTGTTACTCCGAAGCCCGCTCTAACTCACTTGTGGTGCGCTCCGTCCCGCTCGCAAACTAACCCCATGCCCATGATAATAATGTTACCCCCCCCCCTTAAGTCGTTAGAGTTTTTTATCGTCGACCAATAAGAGTTTGGTCGGGGGCGCGGGGCGCGGGGGCCAAACTTCATTATCACCTCGGAACGTTATGTTGTTACGTTACCGTTCCACCTTCGTGCGGGAACCGATGCACCGGTCTCCGACCCCCTCCAGGAGAAGGGTCGGCAACGGCAGGCTGCAGCCGTGACGACCTGCGCGTTGGGTTGCTGACACCGCGTGGACCGTTCAATCTTGAACGATCGCGGCTTTCCGATGGTCGGGAGCGGCCAAGAGGGGGGTGTCCAAGAGGGGGGGGTGCAAATCATGACCGGCGGCATGTGCGCGGCAGAGCGGGAGGGCCAGGGCCGTAATGAAATAAGAAGAGGCGCCATGAGATCTGGGGAAACATCATGGCCCACGCCATGATATCCACCCCCCCCTAGTCATCACCCCCCTCTTTTCCGCCCCCGAGATGGTACGGACTGCTCCACATCGACCGGTTCCAGGCCACTGGCGGCGTTCCACCCTGAACACCCGCGCCGGGCTCGCCACCGCGTCGGCGCGACGCGAACCCACCGTAGAGCGGCTGCCGTCTGAAATGGTGATCCAGGGCGAAGAGAACTATGCACATGCACCGATCCTGGCAAGGCCCATTTTTGACCCAGGATCGGTGCATATGCCTTCCTGGCCAAGGTAGGAGGGCGTATGCACCGATCCTGGGCTCAGGATGGGCATGGCCAGAATCGGTGCATGTGCATAGTTCTTTTCCCTCTATGATCCGCGTCTGCGCAGAGGGCGGACCAAAAAGCTGCATATAAACATAAACCTCCGGAGCTCCGCACGGAGTTCGGACCTGCGCTGGGGCGCCCTGGCGCAGCCTCCGGCGCCGCCCCATGGCGCACTCCACGCGCCAGAGAGGGTGGTCTCCAGCGCAAAACCAAGACATCCGCGCGGAGCCCCAAAAGCTGATGTTTATTCGTGAAGGGCTCAACGACTCACGCCGTCCCTCGACTCGCGCCGGAGCAGCCACGATGTGCTCACCAAATGTCCCTGGAGATCTTCTGATCTTACCTGGATGTACCCCGACTTACCTGGATCTACTTCGACGCATCGGCACTTACCTTCATTTACCCGGCTTGATCCCCACAAGTGGATTGGCGAAAGGTCGTCAAACCCTTGGGTTATGTTGCTCCCATCGCACTTAAGGACCACATTCCAGAAATTCGCCGGCCCAACGGGCCAGAGGCGTGCTAAGATCTCCAGTAACTACTTAACAATATTTCGAGTTCGCGCGCGCCGGGCGGCCCCTGGGGGGCCCCAGACGAAAAGTACCCCGGTTGATCCCTGGCCGGGTCCCGGGCGATCCCCAGGGGGGAGGCTATTTTTCGCCACCCCTCACGAGGATCGTGGCCTCCGAGGGGGGGCTGCAATCGACTACCCCCCCTCCCGCCCCAAGGGGCCCCCAAGAGCCCCCCAAGAGGCCCCAGGGGAGCCCAATACGCCTCCAAGGAGCCCCAAGACGCTCCCAAGAAGCCCCCAAGAAGCCCCCAAGACGGCCCCAAGAGGCCCCAAATAGCGCTCCAGGGCCGGCGGAATGAGCGAAGCGATTAAATAATTTTGAGCACCCGGAAAAGTGTCGAAAGAGCGTCGAAACAGGGTCGAAACAGTGTCGGACGAGTGTCTCCCAGGGCCCGACACGTGACAGCCCTCGAGTTTCGGTACTTGCTGCTGGCCCTCGAAGTTATTTCTGGTGATCACGGCTAAAATAGGTTGGAACATCCTGACCCTTGAAGACTTTGTGCCGATTTTTCCTCTTCGACTCGGGCATCTCCAGAGCAGCTGCTTACGACCACGGGGGCGCGGGCGGAGCCCCCCTCCCGGCGGGTGCAGCTGGCGGCCTCGTTGCTCCGCACCGGCGGCACGCCCGGGGCCTCAGACGGGCGCGGCGGAGGAGACCGATCCCGTCGTCGCCCTCCTCCTCGCTCCTCGCTCCTCGCTCCTCGCTCCTCGCTCCTCGCTCCTCGCTCCTCGCTCCTCGCTCCTGGCTCCTCACTCCTCACTCCTCCTCCTC